CACACACACACACACACACACACACACACACACACACACACACACACACACACACATACACAAACACATACACACACACTTATGGGAATCGATTCGTCCTGAATTAAACTGTGCTGTTTCTACGATATGAAAGTAATATGTAACCGCTGCCTGTACTTCTCATTAAAATATAAATAAAAACAATCTTAAACGTATGTTTCGTAACCATTTATTTATCAAAATAAAATTGCGACCTTCTACAAGCATCCATACAACCTCCAGAAATCGTCCATGTACGATCCCAGGATCGTCCATACAACCTCCAGAAATCGTCCATGTAACATCCCAGGAACGTCCGTACAACTTCCAGAAATCATCCATGCAACATCCCAGGAACGTCCATAAAATTTCCAGGAAATGTTCATACAGGTCCAGCTTTCGTTTATATAATCTGCACGGAACGTTCATTCTGATCGTCGAATGGAGGTAAGGTTTAATGGATGTGTAGGAAGCAGTACGTCTATGATGGACGTCCATAGGACATCCGTGATGGATGTTACGCGGTTATCCACCATAGATGTAATATGGACGTCTATTGGACGTCCACTTGACGTCCACCATGGAGATGGAGCTATGGAAGTTCTATGGACGTCCATTGGAGGTTTGGTTCGGTGTGGGCAACGGTTAAATGGCCATTTAAAGGCGTACATATGCCATCTCTTGTAAAAATTGTTCTCATAATTTTTCATACAATTTCTCATATTATTATTTTTTTTAATGTTATTATGTCATTAAATCTGAACGATTTAACCGTCATGCAATAAGTATTGAAGGCAGCAGCACTGAACAAAATATTAGTCTCGTTATGTAAATAACTTTTACAGAATTTTTGTAATGGTTTATTTGAAAATATATCATGCTTCGATTTTGATAAAACTTAGTACAATCTGAATGGGACGATCGACCAAATTAATTCGCATATATAAAAGTACAGTATTCGAGACTGCGCGTCAGTTTGTCGACAGGTTCTGTGCGCAGTCTGTTACCAATCTGTCGTCAGAACAGATTTGCGTAAAATCTGTTGCCATTCTGTCTACAGACACTGTTGACAGACTCTGCATAAAATCTGCTCACGCAGGTTTGGCTATTTCCTTCATTTTTTTCCCGGGTCGTTATTGAAGTTAACGTTAACTAGTTCCGTTTTTATCGTTGCCCAACGATAATAAAACTGGATGCTTTCCAGCTACGTTACACTGGCCGTGTTCCGTTTTGCTGGCAGTGTTGGCAGTACTGTAAATTTGTTTCGTTTTAAGGATACTGTTACAGTGCACTGTAACAGTATCTAGTTCCATCAATGACGTCATGAATGGCAGCCATCTTGGCACTATACTACTGTGGCTGAGAAGGTCAAGCAGTTACAGTACAAATATGGCGACGAACAGCTCGATAGAAAAAGTAGGTCTTTTAGATGCAGAAACAAATAACAGCACGTCAAGCACTTGCTCGTCCAACGTTAAATCGATCGTATAAACTGATCTATTATATAAATAGAATAATTGTATACATATAGAGAGAGAATTCTGATTCATATATCAATTTATTCAATGTGTTTTTTGTGGTTTTTATGATATGTATATATATTAATTTTTTAATTATATATATATAATACACACACACATACTAGCATGCTTAGATCCTTATAGCTCCTGCACACAGAACGCGGTAATGCTTGCCGCGCGGCGGAAGTCCGCACGATAGCCAATCAATATGTTGTTTTTCCGTAAGAGCTAGAAGGTTATTACGGAAAGCAACATATTGATTGGCTGTTGCGCGAACTTCCGCCGCACGACAAGCATTACCGCGTCCTGTGTGCAGGAGCCATAAGAATCAGCGACTGTGATTGGTAAATTTGCTTACTGCTTACGTTTTACTGCTTAAGTGTTTTTATGTGCCACGGCCCTAAAATTCTATTCGACGAATAGCATTTAATTGACCAATCAGAACAAAGAGAATTAAGATTTCTTTATCATGATTGGTTAATTGAATGTTGCACTATCAGTCGAGTAGGATTTTGGAACGCAGCCCTGGAAAATATGTAATTGTTGTAAACGATCCTTAACACATGGCTGAATTAGCGAACGTAAACCGGTAGCTCGTGGTTCATGTAGAATTGCTGACGTTTTGAGAATTCAGAGTTCAAGGAAACAATGCGCGTTGGTTAGAAATCCGTTGATGCAAAATAACATCAACTAATTCGCTTTGACGGAGATATCGCGATTATTGACAGATAGGAAAGCAATAATAATGCATACTGTTTTAACGCGTGGAAATGCTATTTTAGCATACACGTTAAGCGTGTCAGCTTGCCTTACATTTTGCTGTTTTCTTTCTACAGTATTTATCGATTACAGAGCAAACGCGACGTTAAATACAGTTAAAGTTGTTGTGTAAGTACCGACAGATGTATTATAAATTTGTGGCATCTTAATTAAATCGCAAATATGCTCGAACCGCATTAACCATATTGTTCTCATATATCACAATCTGTCAAAGAACGACGTGCTTTTCAGATAAAGATAATATTATAGAACTTATTTCGTTTCAAAATATATTAGAAATTGGAACACGCACTAAATTGAGCTATTATATAATCAAAATAGTAAAAAAATGATGAAAAGATATTCTGTCTTGCAGAAAGAACGTGCCAGATTATAGTGCATCAAGAGAAAAGAATGATCTGGGTTACTTAACTTTTGATTTACAAACTGATATCCTTTACATATAGTATTGTATAATTATCTTTAATATCTATATGGTATTCACAAATTGTAAATTTAATTTAGATAAATCTATATATTTACTTTCGTTGATTGCTTTAGTTTTCAGTTTTTAATTTCCAAGACAAAAATAATTCTAATCTTTTTTTTAATAAAACTAAATTATTTTATACTTATATATCAAACTATTTACCTTACATAGTTTTTACATCTTACTCCATTATTTAATTGGAATGTTAAACAATTATTTCTATATCTCACAGCAGAATATCAGACAGAAAATAATGAGTTTAATCAGGTATATTTTCCAAAATTTATTCACTTTTTATACAACTTTTATGTAAAAAATTATACTGTTCTCATTCTTTCGTTGGCAGGTAGTATTATGGGACAAAATAGTACTTCGTGGAGACAATGCTGTATTAGATTTCAAGAATATGAATACAAAATATTACTTCTGGGATGATGGCAAGGGTCTTAGGTAAAGTATAAAATATTGAATATTATATATACTGGAAGATTTCTATTATATATATATTTACATATATCAAACCATAAATACTAAATCTATCATGTTTTGTTCTTACAGGGGAAATAAGAATGTCACATTAACATTATCTTGGAACATTATACCAAATGCTGGACTGTTACCTAGTGTTAATGCTCTTGGTTCTCATACTTTTGCATTCCCATCTGAATATACAACATTGCGTGTATAATGTTATATTTAGATGCACATGTATGATTTTGATTGCTTGTATATGATCTTGTTTTTTATTTTAAGCTGTGTAAAATCTGTATACAATAAACGTGATGTTATTTCTTCACTGATATTCTTTTTCTTCTATTTGATAGACTTACAATTTAGTGTCAACTGAATTCCATATTTATAATTTTTTAAAACTCCTAGTTCCTTTCCATGAAACTTGATTGAGAAAATACCCAAGATTCTTGTGTATCATTTTCAAGTTAAAAGATTCGTATGGAAGAACACTTGAAATTGTTTGGGCAGACTTGGGAAATGCACTGAAAACTTATTTTACTTTGAATAGTTGTAAAATTAACGTGAAATTCTTCTTTAACTTATCTTTTCTCATGATTTTGCCACATTAATTTTAAATATTTATTGACTGCTAAGGAAAAAGGATAGTTTTTGGAGCATTTTATAAGTATGCTCAAGTGATTTCATGTTTTTTATTCAAAGTGTTTTATTCTAGATTGGCATAGAATTTTCAATGAAACATTTTTTTATTTTTGCTATCATAACCCAACATGATCGCGACAAATATCCAAAAGTCTTAAGAAAGATATTATTAATTAAACTTATTCACAAATTTATGAATATATGCATATTAAATATATAGAAAATTATAGAAAATTAAAAAATATATAGAAAATTAAATTAAGTTTACTAAATTCCTTACCAATAATATCCTTTACCAAATATTTTGAGTTATCTTTTTTTCCCGAATATATCTCTTCCTAGATACTCTCCATGTATGCGTTTCCGAACTTTTTCTGACAGTAATATTTTATTTTCAATTCTTGTCATTTTACATATTTTTAAATATACGTTAAACTTTACTTTTGTTACTGTTTAAAGTTTGTTGCGCACTAGTATGTTTTTTGCCTTTTTCCACACTCCATGACTCGTCATCCTCTCCATCTTCTTTGCCGTCGTCGTCATTATCATTATTATTATTATTATCATCATCATCATCATCATCATCATCATCGTCGTCGTCGTCGTCGTCGTCGTCGTCGTCGTCGTCGTCATCGTCGTAGTCGTCGTTGTCGTAATCGTCATCGTCTTTGTCATCGTCATCATTAGTATAAGTACTGGTTCCATAACAAGATTCTTGATTTCCTGTTATATATAATTATTATATATTACTATCAACATACACACATATACAAGGTGTAAAAAAATTAGACCGACAAACTTTGAGAGGAAATAGAAGACATAAAAACAAATATTTGTTAATGTTTTTCTCTACGACGCTTCGTTTTAATACTACACGGTACAAAATAGGAATTTTATGATTTTAACAAAAAACAAACATAAGTGCAAAAATTAAATTTATTTCAATTACACATATATATTTTAATCTTCAAAAAACAATGAACAAAAGAACGGAACAAAAATGCAATTGATTAGCTCAATTTATAATAAATGTTCAAAAATTCCTCCATTTGCTTCAACACTAAGATGACATCGTCGAAACATTGATTGTTTTACACGCTCGAAGACTACAGGAATATTCTGAACCTGATATGCTGCAGCAGTAATTTGGACTACCAATTCTGCTTCTGTTTCAATAGGTGTGGTCTAATAAATGAGAGTTTTCATATGCACCCATAAAAAAAATTGAGCTAATCAATTGCGCATTTTTGTTCATTGTTTGTTAAAGATGAAAATATATGTGTAATTAAAATAAATTTAATTTTTCCACTTATATGTTTGTTTTTTGTTAAAATCATAAAATTCCTATTTTGTACCCTGTAGTATTAAAACGAAGCATTGTAGAGAAATATATTATTAACAAGATGTTTGTTTTTATGTCTTCTATTTCCCCTCAAAGTTTGTCGGTCTAAATTTTTTACACTCTGTATATATCACACATCATATATCACATATATCATATATATATATATCATATATATATATATATATATATATATATATATATATATATATATATATATATATATATA